TGTAAGTGTAGTGCAGCCTAAGGGTTAAAGTTCACAGCATTGTATGGGAGTTTGCAGCTGTGTGGCAGGCACTGCAACAGAGCTTAGTGATTCAGCTCCATTCGGACTGCTTCTCCATGGTTCATTGTCTCAACCGGGGAGGGGGATCTCTTTTTGTCTGTGGCTTTGTGGCTGGTTGTTTTGGGTAGCTTTTTTGCTGTGTTCTCAGGGTTTAACTGTCCATGCCATTCACATTCAGGCTGTGTCCAGCATCCTGGCAGACAGCATGTCAGGCTTCATTCCTCTTCGACGGTCAACGCTGCCTCCTTCCTTTGGTTTTGTCAGACATATGGGGCCCGGTGGTGGACCTCTTTGCGTTGACATGGTTTCAGTGTCTCCCATTGTACGTGGTGCCGTTCCCCAAATGTGAGAAAAGCATTTACCACAAAGCATTGTGGTAGATGCTTTTCGGTAGGACTGGTCGAAGTTGGGGTTCCTTAACCTCCCCCCCCCTCCAGTGGTCCAGCAGTTGCTGATGACGTATGACTCATTTTTTTCACCTCCGGCCTGCTCATGTGCCATCTGAGCCTTCTTGGTCTTTAGACCGAGTTTGTTTCTCTTCTTTTCTTCTCTCTTTGTGGTGGCCCCTTCGGTTAGGAATTGCTTTTGAAAGGCCTTGTTTTTGTTGGCCAACAAAAATCCAATCCAACCTCTGGGGGTTGGATTGGGGAGCTTCAAGTTCTCCTCTGACACCGGGGGTTCTGTTCGTTTGGCCCTAGTGGTTGTTTTGTTCATTTGCAGCCTTCTCCTTTTCTGGCGAAGAATGAGATGGCTGGCTTCCAGAGGGGTTGTGGATGTTTGGTTGGTTAGACTGGGGGTGCATCATGAGTTGTCCGGTGGGGGCTCTACGCTGCTACCTGCGGGCCACTGGTTCTGTGACAGTGGATGCTCTTTGGGTGGATCCAGTTTACCTGGTTCCCTGTTTCAGGGCTCGTGTGTTTCAGGTTGTCCGCAGTGTCATCAAGTCTCACCAGCCTGAGGTCTACCCAAGTGTCCATGTTGTTGGGAAGTATTCTGCTCTCGGCTTCAGGAGGGGAAAGAAACGCAGGACCGAAGCCAACAGGTCACGGGCACGTAAGTCTTCAGCCACAACTGCCGCTGAAAGGGAAGGAACTTGCATGTAAAGTTCAACCGCGCCAACATCCCGCAGAAGGGCCGGAGCAAAAAGGCACTCATTAAGGTGCTCAAAGTCGCCCCACCCCCCAAGTAAATCTGGACCACAGTCGACGCCTCACGCCACTCAAGCGTGCGGGTACAACAGAAGGCTTCCCAAGCATCCAGTGAGAACAAAAAGTAGGTTGCAAGCCATGACAAACCCGGAAGCTCATAATGAACCCAGCATGGAGACGAAGTTCCAAACCTGAAAGAAGATGTATCCATTATAGAGGCAACCTCCGGGTTGCGCAGGAGGTAAGGGCAATGGCCAAGCTCATAATGAACCCAGCATGGAGACGAAGTTCCAAACCTGAAAGAAGATGGATCCATTATAGAGGCAACCTCCGGGTTGCGCAGGAGGTAAGGGCAATGGCCAGTGGTAGGTAATGGAGGTAATGGGCAATGGTGAGACGCGGGAAGCCGAAAACCTCCGGAAGGACAGAACCGAAGGACCCCGCAGGGACACGGGACCGAACCCGGGGAGGAGCCCAACCCAAATCTAAATTGTACACGGGGGGTGGGGGGGAGGGGGGGGGAGGAAAACCCCACTCCTTGTAACAGTAAACCCCGCTCGAAGGGTTGGAAAACCCAGGCGGGGTCCAACAGGGCCCAAGGCCCCCAAGCCAGCTCCTCCCCCACCTCGGGAGCCTCCATATAAGGCCCCGGGGATGAGTCGTCCTCCAAAGCCCCGACCTCACAAGAAAAAGCGGGGGTGGCTGAAATAGCAGGAAGAGAATGGGCCCACTGGTCAGACCCCGGAGCTACAGCTGGAGGAACAGACTCAAATGCCTCCATCCCCACCCGGGAAGGGGCAACCCCCCCAAAACCGCTTGAGTCTCAGAAACCTCTAAACTCTGCCCCGACCCCAAAGCCCTTAGAAAAATTAGGAGCCGGAGGCAGAGGGGGGGGTGGGAACCGAATGAATCATAGCAGGAGAAGAACGAGGGGGCGCGAACGGAACCAAGGCTGAAGCGACCAACGCTCCCAAGTCCAGGTCCGTATCAGCAAAATGCGGCAGCCTCAGGTCATTCGGAGAAGCAACCAACCGACCACATTGCAACAATCTAAATCTATCGCACAACGTGCAAGCCGCCTGCACCCGAATATCATCATCATCAGATTGGGTGAATTGAGTCACAAACAAGCAACAAAGCTCACAGGACTCAGGGTCGAATGTGTCACCAACCCAACAGGCAACATGACGGAGCAAAAACAATGAGTGTTGCCCTGAGACAAAAGGACAGAGCAACCCCTCAAACTTGCACACAGTGAGAGGGGACTCGGGGATCGCATCAGCCATCGGACCCGAGTGTCCCTGCGGGGTTTCCTAAGGCCTCTAGACTAGGTCTGCAAAGGGTAATTCCAGGCAGGGTACTGCTAACCGGTGCCCAAGCTACCAATCTACACTGCTAAAGCTGAACCCCCGGGACATGTCCACTCACGAGGGCGAAGCAGGGGGGTACCACCAAACAAAAACAAACCCTAGTATAACAAGGGGAAGGAACACCAAGGCACCAGGCAAAACGAAAAAGAAAAGTTTTTTTTTTTTTTTTACCTGAAAGGAGATTTTTTTTTTTTTTTTTTGAACTTTGAAAAGTTCAAAAAAACCTTGCAAGAGGACAGCATACCTAGAGGGAACAGAGCCGCCCGCTGTTATAGGTGAAAACTAGTTGCGCAGTACCCCGTGCCCCTACCAGTGCAATAACTACCACTTACCCTAAGGTAAACAAAGGTAGAAACCCCCCAAAACACTCGGGACGATTTTAAATTTGTTTTAATACACGTGCAAGAGATTTTGAAGTCAGGAGCTGTCAATTCCATTCAATTTTTCTTTATTAAATTGCTGCCCCATACCCATCCCGTGGACGGTGGTGTAAAGGATTATAGAGGCACATAATCGGTTCAGGAACTGAACCCTCTAGTTCGTTTAGCTAAGCAAATAACAATCTTTTTACACTAATTACAAAATTATTAATGTTATATATACATGTACACATACTTATACATACATGTACATATACACAGTATACGTGTACATATATACATATACATATTTAATCACCCACACAAATACACACATCAATAATCTTTTGTCACAAGTGATTTAGCAAGAGGCTCACAACAGTCACTATACAAGGCACTTTATATCTATAGTGAATCACACAGTTACTAATCTTGCTGCACACCCACCCAACTGGGCGCCAGCTTTACAGTCATGTGCATGCATTACCTACAGTAAGCAAATTTTGGATGCTTCGCTAAGATTTCTGGCAGCACATCATTATGAATGAAGTACTTACACATTTCTTGGACTACATTGATGGTGTTATCTCTAAATTCCGCGATTTTTTCACATTCCATTATATAATGACACAAAGTATGTGAATAGTTCGGCAGATAGAGTTTACATTTAGTCAAATCTACATCAGCAGATGTTACAAATTCCCAGAGGTACTTGTAGCCGAGCCTAAGCCTAGCAGTGGTAACATCTAGAAGTCTGCTAACCTTATTGGATGACCCATAGACGTGCAGTACTTCCTGCATAATAGAATGATGATAGATGGAGTAACTGGTGTGAATTTCACTTTGCCTCAAGTCTCCAAAATTTAGTTGATGTTCCCAGAATATTGCTGCCCTCAGGCTGCTCAAAGGCAGTCCAAGTTGGTAATCAATTCCATCTTTACGAGCAAAAGTCTTGGCCAACTCATCAGTTCTATCATGTATTCGGAGACCAGTATGGGAAGGAATCCACAGGAGACAGACTCTGACTCCATCATTGATTATTTCATTATATCTGTACTGTATCTGGCTTCAGAGATAAGCATGTCACAATTATGCCTTGGGAAGCTGAGGGCAGTCATGGATGACAAGGCGTCACTTACAATTAGCGTGTCAACTTTGGATTCATATACGTGCTCGAGTGTAAGGATTATGGCAACCAATTCTGTTTGAAGATTGGAGGCCCAGTTACTTAGACGTGCTACACACTCATGGGAGAAGGAACCATCTCTCCCTGTCACAACAACTGCACTTCCATGAGGCAGGAAAGTGTCGTTGTTGTCTCTCTTGGTAGGGATGATGGAAGTTGTACATTCTGAGCACATTGGTAGTTTCGGTAATCCATTTGGAGGGATGCTGACCTTCAAGGAAGAAGGCTTGGAGGGCTTCAGTGCCAGGGTTAGGGTGGGTTAGCCTATCTGTGAATAAAGTGGTACATTGTGACAACAGCAGCATTTTCTTGTTTTAAAAGAGAAACACAATCTTTTGTAGAGGCAACCATTGATGGGGAAACTATCAGTACAGATGCCACACAGTTATTCCAACAGAGACCTCTTTTTTTTTTTCCAAATATGAGAAAATATTTATTATCTTGCAGAATCCCCAGTGAGCTCTCGTGGAACCCTAGGGTTCTGGGGAACCCTGGTTGAGAAACACTGCTTAAGAATTAGGATGAACCTTGCCTGAAGTAACATTTGAGTGAAATAGTAAAAGAAAAACCTTGCCGGTTTTGAGCAATAGCTCATCTCTCATGTTGTTGCCCCCAAAAAAACAGTCTCAGTCAGATTTCATGTTTGCATTTATTTCCTTAGACTTTGCTATTTATAATACAGTATTATAATTTTTTCCATGAATTGCTTCTCAATCACCGAGGGTAAATTACATTAAATTTATAACCATTTGACATTCCATGATGCAAAGTACACACACACACATTTAGTGTACAGTACAGTATTTTGATCTTTCAAAGCATTTACTAACCCTCTAATTATGGTAAGAATAATTTTTTATTTTTTTTTTGTTTTCAGGCCTGGAGTTAGGAATTCTTGTTAATGACTGTATTTTCCTTCTGAAGAATGGGAGAAGCTTAAGAAAAATTGCCTTGTCCACACACTTGCTGGGCAAATCTCTCATGTTATTACTATAGTGAAAACACACTTGCACGTTGTTGTGACTGCCAACACGACAACTGTAGAAGGATGTGGTTGACTAATGTAAATTAGGCAAATTATGTGAGCCAACATTCATGTCCCTCTGCCATGGTATTTCATATTTGAAAAATTGTGGGATAGGGGCTCTGACCCTAAAAACTCACCTGATATAACGATGAGTTCTTTCATGAATGCCGACAGCACCGAAGTGGGTTGACAAGCGGCATCACTTGTGTTACTGCTGCCAGGAGAGCAAAGCATTACGGCCCACCTTCCTTCAGCCACCTCATGTAGTGTACTGTCCTTAGCCAGCCAATCATGGATTGGAATTAAATTTTACACACCGTCAGGTAAGCCAACATCATGCCCAGGTGGTGTGACCAGGAGTATGGGCCGTGATGTAAGACCTGTGATTCATTTAGAAAGAAATTAGAATGACTAGTATAGAAAGTTATTTAATGTAAAGCAAGTGCAACTTCTCGGGATTCTTAATAGAAATGAAATGAATTCCGTGTTTTGTTACTTGAACCACATAGTGAGAACCCCAGAAATGAAGAAGAAAATTTCCTGTTTAAGATAAATGACAAATGGTAGAAAATTTTTGAATCTTGTGATCTACTTCTACATCATTATAATTAACACTCCAAATTGTTCTTCTATTCAGGAAGTGTCTGAATGTCAATATTAATATTACAGTATTTAAGTTTTTAATTTGTTGTTCACAAGAGCCTGTTTGTAAAAAATGGTTCTACAGTCTAGTGGATTAAGATAGGCTTTTTCTTCCATTTATTTATCAAATCTCCCATTGTAGATTTTATTTAAATTATTTTCCTTAAGAGTTTATCCATGTTTCTAACTTCACATTCATTGAGTTCATGAATTTATTCGTCTGCCTTAATTTACATCCAAAAACCTATTTTCACACAATTGACTCGTGTGGCCACTCATCTTACGATCCTTGGCTGTGTTCGACATCACTCGACAGTTAAACACAAACAAAAGTAGGCGTTTTCCAAGTGAGTAAACAGAGGCGAACACTCTTTCACAGACCTCTATTTTGTGGATAGAGGGTAGAACTAGGCGAGACGCAGGAAGTTAGTTGTCGAGTGCAGCCTTTGTGTTCCCCATGGCTACCGTCAACCACAGTTCACCACGTATAGTTAAGTAGACTGAAAAGTTGACTTCCATACACTCATATTCATTACAAGTATTTTGCCAAGTATACATAAGATATATAAATTATTACTGCAATTAGCAAATGATGAATAAATCCCTCGTTCCACAATTTTTTACACTCAAAGCACATGTAAATATAATTTCCCAATACATATGTGAGAAACAAATAACTTATTTTCTGATATATTACTAAAATAGATTAAAGCATTATATCCTAACACTACCTAGTAACATTTTCTTCTTCTTGCCAAATGGAAACCAAAGCTTTGAGAGCTTTTGAACATAAATCGGGCTCCATGCTAGTTATGCCTCTGATGGGGGTAGTCTGGCAAACACCTTTGATTTCACCATGCTAAAGCTTCTCTTGTTGTTGTGCTAGAACAGTAAGAGAAATGTTGTTATTGGGGCATTCAAAGTTAGCCAGCCTTTTGGGTCGAGTTTCTTTTGTTAGCCCAAGAGTCGTATTCACAAGTTGTGCCGAGGTCAGTCAAAGAATACATTCACTCTTCATTCATACATACATTACTGTGTGTGTGTAATTACCTAAGAGTTGGTAGGAAGTGTGTGTGTGTGTGGGCATGTATGTATATTTTATATGTATGTAATTCTATATATTTATTTATTTATATTTTTCAATATATTTATATACATATACAATACTGTGTGTGTGCGTGTGTGTGTATATATATGTGTAATATATATATATATATATATATATATATATATATATATATATATATATATATATATATATATATATATATATCTCCAAAAATATAAAAAAAAATACAAAAAGAAAGGGGGTGGTAGGAGAAAAGCACACACAAACTGTATTGGAGGGAACCTAAACATTCCCTCTAATGCGTTATGTGTGGTTTCCTCCGAGGCTATGGGTCCCCTTTTTCCAGCCAGAGGTGGTACTCCCTTCCTTTTTATTATATTCAATATATATATATATATATATATATATATATATATATATATATATATATATATATATATATATATATATATATATATATATATATATGTCGTACCTAGTAGCCAGAACGCACTTCTCAGCCTACTATACAAGGCCCGATTTGCCTAATAAACCAAGTTTTCATGAATTAATGTTTTTTCGACTACCTAAACTACCTAACCTAACCTAACTTTTTCGGCTACCTATTCCAACCTAACCTATAAAGATAGGTTAGGTTAGGTTAGGTAGGGTTGGTTAGGTTCGGTCATATATCTACGTTAATTTTAACTCCAATAAAAAAAAATTGACCTCATACATAATGAAATGGATAGCTTTATCATTTCATAAGAAAAAAATTAGAGAAAATATATTAATTCAGGAAAACTTGGCTTATTAGGCAAATCGGGCCTTTCATAGTAGGCCGAGAAGTGCGTTCTGGCTACTAGGTACGACATATATATATATATATATATATATATATATATATATATATATATATATATATATATATATATATATATATATATATATATATATATATATATATATATATATATATATATATATATATATTTATATATATATATATATATATATATATATATATATATATATATATATATATATATATATATATATATATATATATATATATATATATATATATATATATATATATATATTATATATATGCAATTGACGATCACAAAACACTGATCATTTTATGCGGAAAATCCACAGAGAAATATGAAATGAGGTGAACGTTTCGGCTTGTTAAAGCCAACTTGGCTTTAACAAGCCGAAACGTTCACCTCATTTCATATTTCTCTGTGGATTTTCCGCATATTATATATATATTATATATATATATATACATATATATATATATATATATATATATATATATATATATATATATATATATATATATATATATATATATATATATATATATATATATTATATATATATATATATATATATATATATTATATATATATATATATATTTATATATATGTCGTACCTAGTAGCCACAACGCACTTCTCAGCCTACTATGCAAGGCCCAATTTGCCTAATGAGCCAAGTTTTCCTGAATTAATATATTTTCTCTAATTTTTTTCTTATGGAATGATAAATATACCCATTTCATTATGTATGAGGTCAATTTTTTTTATTGGAGTTAAAATTAACGTAGATATATGACCGAACCTAACCAACCCCACCTAACCTAACCTAACCTATCTCTATAGGTTAGGTTAGGTTAGGTAGCCGAAAAAGTTAGGTTAGTTTAGGTTAGGTAGGTTAGGTTGTCAAAAAACAATTAATTCATGAAAACCTGGCTTATTAGGCAAATCGGGCCTTGCATAGTAAGCTGAGAAGTGCGTTCTGGCTACTAGGTACGACATATATATATTTATATATATAATATATATATATATACTGTATATTGTGCCTAGTAGCCAGAACGTCGTACTCGGCCTATTATGCAAGGCCCGATTTGCCTAATAAGCCAAGTTTTCCTGAATTTATATATTTTTTAATATTTTTTTCTTATGAAATGATAAAGCTATCCATTTTATTATGTATAAGTTACTTTTTTCAAATTTGAGTTAAAACTAACGTAGATATATGACCGACCCTAACCAACCCTACTTAACCTAACCTAAACTAACACAACTAAGTCAATAATTTATGTTCTTAATATAATATTGGGCCTCTAATAATAATGTTAGTTTAGGTTAGGTTAGGTAAGGTTGGTTAGGTTCGGTCATATATCTACGTTAGTTTTAACTCAAATTTTAGCAAATTAACCTATAAATAATGAAATGGACAGATTTATCATTTCATAAGAAAAAATGAGAAATATATAAATTCAGGAAAACTTGACTTGTTAGGCAAATCGGGACTTGCATAGTAGGCCGAGAACGACATTCTGGCTACTAGGTACAACATATATATATATATACACACAGTGTATATATAATGTTTATATATTTAAATATTATTGGGTAAAAGAGAAAAAAATTAACTAACTGATAAAAAATTACGGGGATTTTATTGATGAAAATTTGAAAAATGTTCCATTTAACTAAGCATATGTTAATTTTGAGATCCACATGCGATTGAAAATGTCTTGATCTGACATAGCTGAGATTAGATTGAGTTAGAAGAGTGGACATTAAGTTAGAACAGATGTGTTAGTTGTGAACAATACTTGTGGGACTGTTGCTTGTGCAGTACAGTATAGTGTTTTCAAATAGGAAAAGCACAAGTTTCTTAAAAGTGAACTAACTGAGATTTTATATTTCTATGTGAAGAATCAATAAATAATAATGAACACCTGCATTTTGAAGGCAGTTATTGAAGATTTTTTTTCAGAGATTTCAGAGAATAATATATTGATACCTTTCATTTGCTTAGCATTTGCAGTAAGCAGTGAAACTAATACTTTAGCTAAACTATAGTAAGCTATAGAGAAAATGCGTTGTGACTGAGGCTGGTAGCACGACTAGCACGGCTCTTGAGTACGGGTCTTGAGCAGGTCTGTTGATGCAGTCGCAAGACTCTTCCTTAAGTTACTTACATTCCACTGCATATTTCCTACCTTACTTAAACCCTCCTTACCTTTTATTTATACTTTCCCTAAACTATCATTTAGTACAGAATCTTGCAGATATAGTTTTTGTTCCCAATATCCAAAGGAAATATTCAATAGAATGCAATGAGAGTTTATTTTTAAAGTGGTTTGAAAGAAAAACATATTCCCATTTTTAGATATGTGCCTTTCTTCAGAGACATAAATTCATACAGGGACTCCAGTAGTTGAAATCCATGCCAAAATCTTCTAGTGGATTCCAAAGGAATTTCATTATGGGTAAGACAGATTATGGGTGGTTTACCCGTGTCCAGTGCATGGGTGTCGAGTATGACGTCGGGCTATGTCTTCCCACGAGTGGCAGAGAAAGTACACGAGTGTGCCTTCTCTGCTGTACATGAAGAGGCTGGCCTGACGCACTTCACTCTTCTGGCCGGCAGCCCGTGGTTTTATTGTGTGGAAGTAGATGTCAAGCTGAGAAACCCCTATTGATTTGAATTTCAGCGGAAGAATGTTGTTGAGTGCCTGTTAAACTGATTTATTTTAAGTTAGGAAAGATATGTATGGATAGAGATTTATTTTTATTTTAAGTAGGGAGAAGATGAATATCAAACAAAATGCAATTGTGATACTTATAGAACATTTGACTGTAAATAGTAAACTAAGCCATCCAGGGCCTAGGCACAGCTTCCCAGGTGTATCTTGCTGTA